CGGCCCTGCCCGCCTCCTTCCCATTAAGGTGCTACTTCTCTCCACCCTGCTCCCTGCCCCCCTCCATGCTTCCTGCCCCAACTCCCCAGCAGGCACAGGAGATGGCCCTGTCTACCCCCAGGGCTCCCAACTCTGAACCTCCTCCTCTCACGCCCTGAAATTCCGGAACATTGTGAATCTGCACATTTCTCCCATCTCATTAGGCCTATGATTAGATCTGCCCCACTAGGCCCCACTGGTTAGATCCCTCATTTGCTCCAGACTCCCCAGTGGCTTCCCAGTGCCCTTGGAATAAAATCCACATCCCCCACCAAGGCTCAAGATCCCCTGGTGGCCCTCTCTGCCCAGCTCCTTTCCACCCCTGGCCCTTCCCCCAGCCTGGCTCATTCTCTGCTAGTAAGTCTCCACTCACCACCCAGAAAGGGCCCCACCCACAGGCCCCGCCTATGGTTGCCCCCAGGCCATCATTCTTGTCATCCAATCGCTTCTGAGATGGGTATTCATTGCTGGCTGGGCCAGTGTCCTGATCCTGTGTGCCCGTTGGGTCCACCTGGGTCCCCAGCGCTTGGTGCAGGGCCTTGTGCACAGTAGGTGCTCCATGAACAGGCCTCCAGGGGAGGGGAGGGGAAGACTCATGCTGACACCAAGAGCCTCCCTGGGGAGATAGGACAGGTTGCATATGTTTTAATTTGTTTGAATGACTTTTCCGGAAGAGATTCCTGCCTGGATTTCCCCTTTCCCAGCAGGTTTTCCAGGAAGATGTCTCGCCGGGGCCTGGAAAAATAATGGAGGCGGGAGGAAGAGGAACTGGTGTCCTCCACATCCTCCCGGCGGCGTAGGCGGAGGGGGCAAGCCAGCGAGCCACAGATGGCCGTGTGACAGTTGCGGTGTCGGAGCCCTAAGAGAGGGGCCTACACATCACATATATAATGAGAATCGAGTCCCGGGGGACACTCGTGAAGGCGCCTCCCCCCTTTCCATCCTCCCCGCCCCGCCCTGTACCCCGCACATTGGACTCAGCTGGGGCGGCGCATGTAGGCCAGAGGGGGCCACCGGGGGGCGACAGAGGCCGGTGAGGACTGCGGGGCCCTAGCATTCCACCCGCGGATTTTTAGGTCCCGCCCCCTTACGGAGGAAGGTACCCAGCTTTTCCAGGGCGAATCAGGGGTTGGAGCCACCAGAGGCCAAAGTCCTTTCTGGGCTCCCCGGCGAAGGGCCCCGAAATGACAGTGTCTGGGTACCTGGGCGGCATGACCCCAGGCAAGGGACTTCCCGGCGCAGTGTCCTCATTTGTGTGATGGGCACTCGCCTGACGCCACCTTCCCAGGTAGTCGTGGGTCTACCACTTACTCGGGTTCGTGGCCACCGACAGCCCCTCCGCGCGACCTTCGTTGTACGGTGCGCCCGACACAGGCAGATGCTCTGTGCGTGTTTGACAAGGAGCCAACGAATAAATTAAGGAACGACGGGAAATGCTCTTAGCCTGTGCCAGGTGTGTGTCCTGCGGGTGCAGTTTACTCCCCTGGGGCAGGGGCTCCTCTATCCCTACTTCAGACCGGAAACGGGCCCAGGGAGGGGCACCTCTTCCAGGGCGTAGGCACTAAGGACTTGGCCCCCACGTCTTCCATGCGGCTTAGCCCGAGGGTGGGGCTGGTGATGCGCTCCCGCTGGGCTCTAGAGAACGGGGAGCCCAGTTGGAGAAGGGGTTCAATCCAGCCCAGTTCTCCAGCGGTTCTCAACCTGTGGGTCGCGACCCCTTTGGGGTCAAACGACCCTTTCACAGGGGTCGCCTAAGACCATCGAAAAACACATATATAATTACATATTGTTTTTGTGATTAATCACTATGCTTTAATTATGTCCAATTTGTAACAATGAAATTGGGGGCCACCACAACATGAGGAACTGTATTAAAGGGTGGCGGCATTAGGAAGGTTGAGAACAACTGGCCTAGAGG